TGGGGCGAGCGGCTGGAAAAGAAAGCTCTCCCGGGAGCGCATCCCTGCCCGTCCCAAAGGCCTGGAGCGGCTTAACAGCAACTCAGTCCCCGAGAAAGGTTCAAGAGAAGTGCATCGAGGGGAACGACTTGGCGTCCGCCATCCAAAGGTTTAAGCCCTCTGAAGACGAGGCTGGCTACTGTGCTAACGTTAAGGCGCCCAATTTCTGTCTCTGCTCCCCATCACCGAAATCTGGTTGAGGTCAAATTTCTAGAGTGCTTTGCTGAATGGAAGTGCAAGGTGGTAAGGAGACAGGGAGACAGAGCTCCGCTGCTGAGCTGGTGCCAAGAAACAGGAGGAGATCAAGCGGGAGAACCCCGAGGTCCCCAACTCCGCTCCTCCGCGGGTTGATACTCGTACGTGAAACGCGGAGAAAATGTGCTTATCACCCAAAGGCCAAGATTGAAGCTTCGTATTTGGTTCTAAGAGTTTGGCTTTGGTAAAAGAAAGAAACAGTGCGACGGGACTTTCCCACCTCGGGATCCGACTCCTGCCCAGAGGAAAGACCTCTCTGCCGACCGGCCGGCCGGCAGCACCTCTGCTCGGCGGCCTCGTCCGTGCTCCGGCAGAAGCAGGGCGGTTTGTCGTTCCCCGGCGGAAAGCCTGCAGAAACGGCGAGTTCCAATGCCCGTTTCACACGACAACAGAAACCGCGACAAACAAAACCCTAAGAGAATTTACCTTCATTTAGAAGTACTTAAAAAAAACAAAAAACAATACATTATTTTGGTTACAGAAATGCTTTTTCCTCTTTTAAACACTACATAGAAGAGCCAAAACGCGTGGCTCGCACGTTCCTGTAACAGTCTTATGGACCAAGAGACGGTGCGTGGCCACCGGAGGTGTCAGGCAGAGCAAACACGATGGGGACGGCGTGAAAGCGGCGTCCTTTAACGGATTCTTCTCCCCATCCCAGTCCAAAGCCTGGCTCCCACGGATTTCATTCTGGACACCTCCGGGGTGGCCACGGACCAGCGTCTCGGCCCCAGCCCAGCGCTCCCTCCCTTCCAGCAAGGCTGGGGAAGGAAAGAAGGTCGGCGGAAAAGATGACGTGTTCAATACTTCATGCCCTGTCAGCCCGTTCTCATTCTCTGCTTCCCAGTCTTTGGCTTTGAACAGACTTGTGATATGGTGAAAGAGTATTGGTTTTTTGCACATGATACTGTTACAGTAATTCAGAACAAAAAAAAAAAAAAGAAAAATCAAAAACAGTGCAACGTTCTCGAATGCTTCAAACCTGCATTATAAATATGATTTTTAAAATTAAAAAAATCCAAAAACAAAAACAATGATCCCACATACACACACGCTAATAAAACTTGCCAAGATGCTGCATTAGAAAAATAAACACAGACTTACTTAGGGTTGTGAATAAGGACTTTGAAGTGCATTTTTTTTCCTTATTAAAAGGCTAAAACTTTCAGATTTTTTTTTTGTGATTTTTGTTGTTTTTTTAAAGGTAAATGCTCGTTTCTTTATAAATAACTTTTTTTTAAAAAAGCAACACTGACTCTCGCATGGAAACAGCCACGCAATACAGAGAACGAAAATTCAAAAAAGAATCGTTTCTTAGGATCCAACGTTTTGCCAAGAAAAAAAACCAACAGAATCCCTAAAGTGCCTGGTGTAGGGAGGGAGGTTCCAGCAACGCATCCATGGGCGAGCAGACCGCCGGGTTGGGCAGCAGCACCCGTTTTTGCATATAAATGACAGCTGCCAAAAGGATATTTTAGTGTCCCAGGTACAGTAGATCTTGATCAAGTGTTTGTATTGGAATCGAAGGATAAGCGTGAAAAAAGTGTGATTGAGATAGAGGAGCAGTTACAGTGGCACTTGGCCAGGAGCTAACACCCACCCCAGCGTTCACAAGAGCATCGAATTCCCCAGTACCCCCGTCCCCCCCATCCTACCAAGAGTTCAGGCTTCCCGGTCTGGCTAGACAGTGCCACGGAGGAACGAACGGAGCGAGTGCTCGGGGCAGAGGGGGGACGCGGCAGCCTCCCCCCGCGCAGCCCCGGGGGCACGCAGGGCTATAGCGAAGGCAAAGCAGGGTGGGAGGCTGGGATGGGGGACTGGGGAAGGCTGGAACCAATTTCAATCCACCCCGAAGGCTGGGACCCAAATGCTCTTCTCATCTCCAGGCTACTGGATGGTCCCAACCCACTGCCTTCTCTCTCTCTTTTTTTTTTTTTTTAAGCTTTGATTTTTTTTCCTCAGTTCAATTTTTTCTGGCCACAGAAAAAGCCAAGCTGCTGCTCGAGGGAAAGCAGCGTGAACCTACAAGCAGCTCCCAGGCCACTATGAGATGCAGAGAAGGGCAGGAGGAGCCCTGGCAGCAGGGAAGGGCTCGACTTACTGGGAGGGCAACCCCACTTTGCCATTCCTAAAGGGGAGCTGGCTAGCTAGAGGAAGCTAGAAACTTTTAAGTTCCTTATAAACAAAATAAAACAACAGGAAACCCCAAAGAGAAGTCGGGGCAAGTCTCCAAGTACCTGCCTCATCTCAGCCCTAAGCCTGCAGCACTCGTCTCCGGTCCTGCAGTCAGGGCAATCACGACAGCAGGGTGGAAGCGTGCGCTCCCAGGGGAGAGGACGTGGGAGAGGCAGGGGTGGGGAACAGGACCACCAGCTGCTCCTTAATTCAATTTAACAGCTTTGGCACCCCACTGGCAATCAAGCAAGAAGAGGAAGCTCTGAACTCTTGGCTTATCCGGCCACGCTAGAAGGCCTGCCCAGTCTTGTTCTCCTTTAAAGTGCCCTATATTTATAGAATTTCTAAATAAATATAATAAGATATTAGGTCACCCATAGTTTAAGCTACTCCGAGTAACAGCCGTCTAAGCCGATGGCATTGTGCCGGTCCTTGCTGTAGGGGCAAGTGCTGCCGTTGGGCAGGGCCCCGCAGGCTGCGGTTTTGGCTGGCATGCCGCAGTTCTTGGGG